CTCCCTCAGTTTCCTCGTCATCACAGACGGTGAGAACCTGAAGAGTTCGGTCTTTGCACCGATGTCCTGGCGTATACTTCTCATCGCATCTGAAACACAACCCCTTTGCCCTCCTCTCCTTGTCGTGTGAGTTGTAAGTGTTGTCCATTCTCAAATATATGAAAGTTGTAGTGTGTTTTAGATATCTTGTTACTTGTGTTCTATTTTAAAGGAAGACAGTCGTTTTTAGGCAATCTAGCTACCCTTTTAGTTTTTTTGATTGCATCACCTATGCAATGCGACATAAGGCTCCAATACCTCAAACACATTTTACATGGGCGCCATGACTAAGGTTCCACCTAGGCAAGAATTTTCATATTTATTAGTGTAGGATGCTAGCAGCCTGAGCACGCTCCACGATAATGTAAATTTTTTAAATTATTTTTTAAAGCATATACAACCATAATATGGTATATAAATCTAATGATGGGGAAGAGAGAATAAATGATGAAGATGAAATTGATAGTAATAAAGATTAAATTAATCTTTACCTTATAATATAGAAGCCACCAAATTGAGTTTTTATTTGCTTTTTTAAACTTAAACCATGATTTTGGGTCTTTTGAGCACTTTGTTTGTATAATCTAATTGGGAATATATTTTATTGTTTGGTATTTGAAATAACACAAAAATTGAAAATGAAAAATTCAACTATATTTTAGTACTTATTATGATAATTCAAATATTATATTCTTTAATATTATTCCCCTATCAAAATATATAAAATTTTTAATGCCTCACTTTGCTCAATTGAACTCCTAGGTTGATGTCTAGAATCACAGACATAAGGCAAGTCGCCTCAAGGATGCCTATCATATTTAATAATGCTAATTCATGTAACTATTTTTCTTCATCATCCTTATTGTACTTTTCTTCAATATTAATATGTAGGCTTCTACTAAGACACTAGCAAAGTGACTTATTTGGTGGCATCTAAAGCAAGCCTTAGAAAATGTTTTGGATCCCAATGCAATAGATACCAACTTTCCTTTAGAATCTCTGCTGATGGTAGTGTTACTCCCTTTGTAAGTAATTCTTTAATTTTGATTGCTTTAGCAAAAAGGGGTTTTCACTAATGTAAAGCTAGGATGTGATGTACAAATGTATACAAACATAATTGGGTATGAAGCCTGATGATGAAGCTCACTTTAGCTCTAAAACAAATTTGATGTAGGGCATCTTATGGTCAAGGATTCACTAATGTTAAGGTAGGATGTGATGTACAAATGTACACAAACATAATATAATTCACGAGTTACAAACTATCAATTTTAGCAAAGATTAATCACCTTTATTGTGAAATCAACGAACACGCTTATTTCACCCTAAATAATAATAAAGCAGAAGCCAAAGTCCGAACTTCCACAATCAAAATTGGAAGCAAGCACATATAAAATTATGCAAAAATCAAGATTTAAACGACAAAAAGAAAACTAGAAAAATTTAAAAGTGGGAGATCCAGGTCACACGCCAGTGTATAGAGACTCATCCTCCAAAAATAGTCATCAAGACTTGTGACCAATAGAAAAATTAAAATCCAATAACGCAAAAAAATTTAGAGCAAAAAAATAACTTTTATTTCACCATCTTCTAAGATCTAGAAAACACTACAAGTTCTAATTCTCCCACCATCAAATAGTAAGATTCAAAATTTATTTTCATATAATTTTTTTCATTATATATAACATAATAAAAAACAACGAGGTGGTGGACTGGTGGTAATACCTGGCACAATAAGTCCCCTATAGATTATAGTTGACATAACATACAAGAAAAGCCACCAGCAGCCAAGAAAAGACATAAACATATGAATAAAGAAAAGGTGCACAGAAGCAAGTAAGGCAACCTGCAATCAAGGAAACTGCAAAAGCATGTGAAATCCACAGGTTTAAGAAGGCAGCAATATAGAGCTTGAGGAAAACCCTAAGCATGGGAATTCTTCCTGGCAGCTAGTTTGGGGATTGAAGGCAAGGAAAAGCTAGAAAAGTTGAAATATGCATTGTTCATAATGCTTATTGAATTGGTTGCATCAGTGAACCAAACCTAAAATGGTGAACACAACCCATTTTGCATAGGATTAACATTGCAGGCATGTTTTCATAACATAAACTTAAAATGAAAATACAATAGAAACTAATCATGCTCCTTCAAGTTCACATTTTGTAGGGGTGTCAATATGAGTTTTCTCGTCGGGTTTAGGTCCAAATGAAACTTACCCACCTTCAATTGGCCCAACCCGATTAGCTAAACGGGTCACAAATTCAAACCAAAACCAACCCGCCTCTAACCTGATTTGACATGACCTGACATGGTTAGCTAGCGAGAGTGACCGAGCGCAAGCTGTTGAGCAAGGCCAGCAGGCTGGCACAATGGAGGACGAGCCCGAGTTGCTTTTGGGTTTGGGGAGTATGCTCACCATAGGAGATAGAACAAGGAAAGGTAGATCCAAATAAAGTTAAGCATGAGGAAGAGCGCCTTAGATGGAGATTCGATTGCTTTCCTAGCAATATACTGATTTGAGAAAGAGCTCGAAGGGAGAGATATAGTTATTATAGGCATGAGGGAATAGCATATAAAAAGGAAAAGGGAGTGCACAAAGAAAAGTAAGGTGAAAAGTGAAGGTTGCGTTTGGAAACGATGGTAGTGAAGAAGATGGCGATCCATCATACAAGTAGGAGTTTGCTCTTGACGTAGAGGGAGAACAATAAAGAGATCCCCGACATTCAGCTATGAAATGCATTTGCACAAAGAGACCGATAAGATCCATTCTAGAGATGATTTATACATGATCCAACCACTTATACGATAGCTGGATTGGTGTTTTGCACATGCTTGACCAAAAGCAGCCATGTTCGGGAGTGTTCAGATATGTCCTTATATAGAATGTGTCCATCCATATAGACAATTGCAACTGTTTTTGGATTTATGATATGAGAAATGACAAAAAAAAGCTATATGGGACTATATGATTTTGAAATGTGTGGACTATGACAAGAATATATGATAAATGAGGTTTTCAGGCATGAGATTTCGCTAATACAATTTAGGATGCATGCACAAAAGATTAAAATTTTGAACTTCACCAACGCTTAGCAAAAAAACTTTGCTTCTTTAATGCAAAATAGAAATCAAACTTCCAAATGAAAATTTAAATATTGTAAAAATCTAAAATTAAGAACTAAACAAACTATGCAACAATTAGGATTCACACCAAAACAAAGAAAATTAGATTGTAGCAGACAATCAAATCTCAATCACATGGATAAATCCAATCATAAA